TATGTCTCAAAGAATATGATTAGTTATATATTTCAAGTCTGTCTTCTGGCTATAAAGAGAAATATCTGAAAAGCATGTGAGTTTTACTACAAAAATCCTGATCATAAATGAACCCAGGACACCTCAGTCTGGACAGGACAGACCAGCTTAGGGGCAGCAAGAGCTGACAGGCTATGGGCAGAGCAACCATGGCCTTGAAGAAGATGAGTTTGGGACAAATAAAAGGAATTGCTGCTTTAGGTAGAAGTAAACAGTTAATGCTAGAGCTTCACAAATGTGTTGGAAATGGAAATTGCTGCAGGAAATGTTCAGAAAAATTCATAACTAAGAGACTAGCAAGAGATCCTTGTATGCTTTGGATAAATTCATGATCATTGGGGACTGTCATGGTGAAGAAGATGCACTGCATTTCCCTATAACAAGTCCCTTGCTAATTTTGCCAGACAGAATATTCCGCTGGATGGACCACTGGCCTGCCCTCGCCAGCACTTTCCATGATCTGATTGACACAGGAGAGCTCCTTAAAAAACAATCCATGGGAACTCATTTGCCAGAAATCATGCACCTATGGAAATAAAATGAAGGACATTATTTTTATGCATTATTTTCTACATTCTCGCCATTGTGAAGCACCTGTGCCCTCACACTGCTCAGGAAACAGAAATAGAACACAGACCTAGGGAGGCTTGTTTACTGCTACATTTTCCATTTTTGCCGAAAGGTTCCCATGGGCATCGTCGTGCCAGTAGTGTGAATTCTCTCCTCACAGATGCACAGGCCTTCCTTCTGGCCTTTCCCCCAACCCTCTCCTAATTTACTCAGATGACGGCCACCAATGGGACACTTCTTTTGTCTGACTGGGATGACAGATGGCAGAGCTTCCACCGGGATCAGCATTAATAGGACTTGGGGAGCTTCTGAGTCTGAATTGAGAGGCCATTCCTCTCTGGGCTCCAGAGACTTAGTACATCATATTTTGAATCCATCTTTGCACTTACCTTATAGGGAAAAGGGAAGAGGGAGAAAGAGGTAAGTATACGGTTGTATTTAGCATTTACTTTTAGGAGAATGAACAGTGGACTTGAGCTAAAGGCACCAGTGTGACCAAATCACTAACCATTTATCCCCTTTATTACTGAAGTTAAAATTCCCAGAAAAAAATATTTTAACACACCCTTTGAAAAGAGATGATTTATTTTTATAAGCTGTAGCTCAGCTTATAAAATGAAAGCTCATACATACTGCAGCAAACCATCTGTCGGGGGGATCCAGATGAGCTAAACAGATGCAACAATTCAAGTTATTTCTGACATGCATAAATAAAACTAGCTAGGAATCAGGATTAAAAAATACTCAAATCCTAAAGGCTTTTAAAATGTCAATGGGAACTCATCAGTGTCAGATAACCCTCACATATAGAGCATTTCATTGGGAGAGAGATTTTTTTTTTTTTTTTAATTCCTAGCTTTGTCTTTCTCAAGGACTCAGAACATAACTACTATTTACATAACAGCAAAGAACTCAGAATAGTTGATAAATAACCAGAGAGACTTCTCTCAGGCTACCTAGTATTTTTTGAATTATAGGGAAAGCAGATTCTGAATGGATAAAAGGAAAAGCTTTAGGTAAAAACAGTGAGAACTTACTGAGTGCTTGTTTCATGGCAGGCAATGTTTTAAGTGCCTTGTACATATTTATTAATTTCATCCTCACTGCAATCCTATGGGATAAGTACCATCACTGTCCCCATTTAACAGGTGAAAATACTGAACCTAAAAGAGGTTAAAGAGCTTGACAAGGGCCCTGCCACCAGTTAGCAGCAGGGCTGGAATCTACACACCAAATCTTTACATTCCATTGCCTCAACAGGCACTGAATGTCTCTTCCAGATCACAGAGAAATGATAATTGAGACCATCAAGCCATCCTTGACCCTGGAAGAATCCCAGCCATCCTTGTCTAGGCTCTTCTGGTGCAGAACAAACACAGAGAAAGCATTAGACAGAGCTGTCTGGCAGTCTGTAGGATCCTTTTCTAGCCCTGTCTCCAGCTTCTTCTAGACCTTTCTCCAGTCATGTTCTGCTTTGGGACCTCCTCTGTTTTGGCCCCAGCTCTGAACTTTCTAACTCCTCTCAGGTATGCCTGAGAGGACTTCTTACTGACTACCTCATTTAAAATTTTTATTTATTTATTTGGCTGCATCAGGGCTTGACTGGGGCATGCAGGATCTTCGTTGTGTCCGGCAGGATCTTTCGTTGCCCCTCACAGTCTCTAGTTGTGGTACAGGGGCTCTGGAGCTCATAGCCTCCGTAGTGGTGGCACATGGGCTGAGTTGCACTCTGTGGCATGTGGAATCCTAGTTCTTCCACCAGGGATCGAACCCAGATCCTCTGCATTGCAAGGCAGATTCTTAACCACTGGACCACCAGGGATGTCCCTACCCCATTTCTATTGAAATGTGTATTCTGCCCCTTGGGTTTTATTTGATAAGGCTTATAGAAAGTACATAAATGCTGAGAAAAAAATGCGAGGAATTCTGATTACAGGAAATGTTTCTCAGTAGCTGTATTTTTCAAAGTATGGTCCTCTGGCTACCTGCATAGGCATCACTGGTGGTGCTCCAGAGAATGGCAGATTCCAGGCTCCACCTCCTACCTGAGGCATCCGACTCTGGGTGTGTGGCTGATGGATCGTTTACAAACACATGCTCTCCAGGTGATTCCCATACAAACTAAAGTTTCAGAACTGTTGACAGATAGAGAGTGTTTCATGCTTAATGATCCCAGGGGTGATTCTATATTTACTGACCAGGAAAGCATTAAGGTTTCCCTACAAAAAGAAAAAGAACTTGGAGGAAGCTATCAAGCTAGCATTTGTGGTTCTCTTGGATGTTTGTGGGCTACTAACTATTGAGCATATTAAAATACAACACAGTACACTATGTTTTAGGGATTTTACCTGGGTTTGCCCGGAAACAACTATTTTACAATATCAAGTAAAGTCAAAGGCCTTTTAGGGGAGATGGGTGGTACTCCAGAATGGCTTCAGCAACCTCTTTAGATTCACAGAACAAAGAGAACAACAGAGACCAAACAAAAGGGGGAACGTTCTGATTTTCTTCAGTTTCCCTGGGTCGGGAAGATTCCCTGGAGGAGGGCATGGCAACCCACTCCAGTATTCCAGCCTGGAGAATCCCATGGACAGAGGAGCCTGGTGAGCTACAGTCCATAGGGTCACAAAGAGTCAGACATGGCTGAAGTGACTTGGTACACACACATGCATTCTTAAGTAGAACATTCCAAATTATGTAAGCTTTGGGCACCACAAAACATGCCCCTACCCTTGTCTATAAATGACAGCATATATGACAAAGCTATGCATAAGAGCCCTGAATTAAATATTTTTAACAGTTTTATTTTCCTTTCTGGCCAATGGACTCTCTGAGTCTCCCTCCCCACCTCTCCTCTCCTTTTTTTAAACTTGATGTTCTGCACTCAAACAGGATATTTTTGAAAAGCCTTCTGATAGTCAGAGAAAATATTAGTGCCATGATGGTCTGAGACAAGAGCTGATAGTAAGAACAGATGGTTCCAGCAAAAGCCCACCCAAAGGGATATGATGATACCATGTGTGTGATGGCTGTTTTAGAAGTCTGAGAGGGCAGCGTGCTGCAGAGATTAAGTGGGGACTCTGAAACCACACTATGTGACCTGAACTCAAATTGATTGATTTACCCAGCAGATTTAATAGATGGGCCTCATTCATTTTGAATAGGAAAAGAAACCTGCTATATCTTCCCTATTCATGAGCTCATTCTCCAATTTAGGAAGGTCGCCTCATGCTCAAAGCAAAAAACAGCCTTCAAGTTGGGAAGCAAAGGTTTTTTGCAGCACTCAGATGTTCACGTTCTCTGCGCTCAGGCTATTTTTATTCGGCAGCACAGACGGTCGTGTAAGCACAGATTTCTTCGGCAGTTTTTATTATAGCAGGTGTAGGATCCTAGGCCATTGTCCTTAAAACACACCCATTCACTACCTGCATTTGAACAGCTTGAGAACTAATGCCATTCTTTATTTGATTATGTAGCTTACTGATTCTTGCTAAAAAAAGAATTAAAAACATAACTCCAAGAAGCCTTGTTTTTTAGATGAGAATGACTGAGACGTCGTGAAAGAATATTATAATAAATCACATTCAAGCCATTTCAAGAGCAGGACACATTTGAAAATGGAATAATCTAAGGATCCACAAGAGAATGACTTGAGGCAAACATGAGCCTTGCCACAGCAGTAAGTTTCACTCAATCAAATAAGAAGTGGCCTGAACTCCCTAAAGGCATGTGGTCTGACTGGAGCTGTAGGATACCATTGTTTTGATCTCAGCAGCAAATGAAGAAGAAAGGACAAAGAGTATTCATGTTGAAAAAATATACTGAGCTGTATGTTGTGAAAAAGAAACCCACCTAATGATCAAAATCCAGGCAGAGTGGCCTATGGAGTGTGGCAGAGACAGCTAGTGATATTCCTAGGCTAGAACACAAGACCTGATGCCATGGGGCCGCTCAGTGGCAGGTCATGTCTCTAGGCTAGAACACAAGACCTGATGCCATGGGGCCACTCAATGGCAGGTCATGTCTCTCTGTTCTCCTTGACTCTGGGTGGGGCTATCTCACTAGGTTATCCTCATGGAATGTGAGTGGAGGTGACATGTTCTGTTTCCAGGCCAGGTGGTTAAGAAACAGACAAACTCTCTCAGTCATTTCCCCATTTTCTATATTCCCATTTGCCCACTGGCTGCTAAAGCTGAAATCGTTACAGCACCAGGAACTTAAGTTCAGAATGATGGTCCAGAGCCCCCCACTGATCTGGAACCACCTTGCACTGCTAAGTGAGTAAAACTCAACTATATTGCCAGATGCTTCTAAACTGCTCCCATTCTCATTTTTAAAGCAGCCAGCATGACTGTAACTAGGAGACAATCAAATCATGTTCGAAATTTTACCTGTTATGTGGATATGATATTCCTCCTTGAAGATCTTCTGGAAGAAAGGAATCTTGAACTGCATATGAGGAGTATGCAAACCGGGAAGATTTACGTCAACATCTCCCATGAAATGTGGAAATTCCCAGTCCTGTCAGAGAAAACCAACATGACAACATATCTGTGATTTGTTTCGTTCCTAAGGAGCAAAACACCAAAAATTGACTTTTTATAAGCACTTATTTTAAAATCATTTAAATGCAGCCAGCTGTTTTGTTCTGTGATGGTTGTTTTATGTACATTAGGTAGCACTGTGCAATCAAAATCGAAATTAAGTCATAACTTATATCCTCAGATTTTCTCTTTAATGTGATAATAAGAAACCAATGCAGAATTGATGTGTATTAATATATGTTTCTTTCTTTCATTATGGAGATCTGATCTTAAATTTTTATAGGAAGGAAGTGATCCATATTTTATAAATATGGGGTAATTTAGTTATTTTTAGTTCCACTTTTTTTAAAAATAAGAAATTTATACCAGCATATTTTCTGTAAGAAGACAAAGAGGATCTAATTCATTTAACCAAGTTCCTCAATTCACATCAAGGAAATTTTATTAATCATCTGTGCTAGCAACTATATGGAATGGAAAAATGCCAAAATGTTCCGTCCTGTTCTCTTGCAATTTAGCATCAATTTGAACCAAATGATGGAGGGCCTGACATGCTAGCCTGAGAGATGCACAGTGAATTAATTCCAAAACTGTCATTAGTTATTTCCTTGTTGTCAAGGCAAAATCATGTGGGATGACCCTCCTTCTCACAAGAAAGGAAAAAAGATGCAAATGAGGATATTTTTAGGTGACTCATCTGCTCTTGGTTTTTGGATAGAAGTACCAAATTAAAGTCCATAACTAGCATGTGAAGAAGAAATACACTAAATAATGAAGAAACCTTTAAGCTGAATCCATGTTTTTATTTCCAGTAATAAAATTATCACTAAATTAACAAACAATTCTATATTTAGTGAATATTTTCTAAAGAACTTGGAGATGAAAAAATAACAAAATACTACTTTAAAATTTTAATCCACTATTTTGACATAAAAAGTTAAATTTTTCTGAGATTTCTCTATATGAAGCTAATAGAGGTGTGCTGATAATAATGTGCATGAATACTTCAGGAGTTTCCATAGCCATTCCACTTCCCTCTTTGCAGCAAATTCTGATTAAGGGAGAACAAACGTTAAAGGAAAGAATATGTGAGTGGTGGTAATCAGGAACGTTTTCAATGTTCATTGATTTTTGATCTATGGATAACTTTAGCCAGTTATAAGAAATAAATATATAAGTATAAAATAAAATGATGCAATATCATCCTTTACTATTGGTGCATATGCCAGTATCCTGTTGGTCTTGCCACTCCTGGTTTTTCAGATATCAGCAGCAAGCAGACATGTAATTTTGGAAATCCAGAAAACACAAAGCACTGATGCTGGATGAATTTGGAATATTTTGATCTAAAATATTAGTAGAAAATGGACTGGAATAATACTTGTGAACCTCTGCATTTTATTAAAGTGCACTTTTTATTTCATTGATATCATCTTGCTCTATGTTACTCAGAAGACATTTGCAAAGAATTAAAATTGAATCTAGTCCTTTGCTATAATATAACTGACATCTGCCATAAAAAATTATGCTTGGCAATGATAACCAGATAATCTTTCACTAGTCCAGGATAAGAAATAGAAAACATTACCAATAGGGCAATTCCCTTTCTCACTTCTTGGTTTAAGGAAGAATGTAGGATTAACAGATACACACTACTATCTATATAAAATAGTCACACAATAAGGACCTACTGTGTGCATAGCACAGGGAACTATATTTAACTCCTTGTTAATGGAAAAAACCTGAAAAGAATCACTGAATCACTTTGCTGTATACGTGAAACTGACACAACATTGCAAATCAACTGCACTTCAATTAAAAAGGTGGGGAGTGAATACTTCTGGATAGTAATTGGGCAAGTGTACTTTCTTTTGAAAAGACGTTCTTGGACCGTTTTTGTTTAGCTTTTCATCTCATGAAATGAAAGCTTTCTACTGGGTATGAAATTGATTTTAGTTTGAAAGTAATCTCTAGAGATTTCTGTAGACTGGGATCAAATCCTCACCCCCACCTCCAAATAGTTCCTTAATTATATCCCAACTGTACTTGGAGATAGAAAGAGGCATTCAGCAAAAGTGGACTAGAGGACAGGAGAAAGTCTTTCTCTTCATCTAGAAGATGGCATTCCTTTCTTTTCTTTTCTTTTTTTTTAAAAGAGATGAAGGCAGAGAGTTTGGGGGGAAAATGTGAGAGTAGTATCTTACACCATCTAAGAAATTAAAAACAAAGAAAGAACTAATAAAAGAGATGATACATAAAGTCTCTCAGATTCCCCCTTTATAGTGTCCAGGGGCTTCCCTGGTAGCTCAGTGGTAAAGCATCTGCTTGCCAATGCAGGAGACATGGGTTCGATCCCTGGTCTGGGAAGATCCCACATGCCTCAGAGCAGCTAAGCCTGTGCGCCACAGCTATTGAGCCTGTGCTTTAGATCCCAGGAGCCACAACTTCCGAAGCCTGCATACCCACAGTCCTGCTCCACAAATGAAGTCCCTGCAATGAGAAGCCCATAGACCGCCACTACAGAGCAGCCCTGACCGCCACAACTAGAGAGAAGCCTGTGCAGCAAGGGAGACCCAGTACAGCCAAACGATAAATACACAAAATTACCAGATTTGGGCTTTAAACACTGTTTTCCTGAGTCTTTTAACTCCCTGCCTCCATCCTCTCCCTGCTACTCTTGTTTTTGTAGTTTAGTTCCTCAGTCGTGTCCTGACTCGTTGCAACCCCATGGACTGTAGCCCACCAGGCGCTTCTCTCCATAGAATTCTCCAGGCAAGAATTCTGGAGTGGGTTGCCATTCCCTTCTTCAGAGCATCTTCCTGATTTAGGGATCAAACCTGGGTCTCCTGCATTGCAGGCAGATTCTTAAACATCTGATTCACCAGGGAAGCCCCTTGTTCAGTTCCTACTCTGTATATTTCTGCAGACGCATTGTTGAATCAGTGTAAATTTTGACCTTGACTTAGAATGGAATGGTAATAATAAGCATTGCTACCACTTCCAACACATTTTGGGCTCATCTTAATGGAGGCATTGGAGGGTAGTGATACCTCAGGTTTTTTTTTTTTTTTAAATAGGAGATAAAAGAGGAAGAAGAATGATATTCTCAATCCCCACCTTCATCTCCAAATCCCACAGGCTTCTTGGGAAAGTGATATAATGCCTGGACAGCAACTAGCACATTGCTGGAGACAGAGGGAAGAGACAGAGAAATAGTCAACAAGCATGGCTGATTTCCCGGCATCATTCAAGGTCAGAGTGTCCCTGAGAGTAAAGCAGAGGCAGCAGATAGGGCTGTTTTCCGGAGAATCACACACAGCTGCTTCAGGGTCCAAGTGGAAAAGGACGAAGGTCATCTTCTCCTGCCCTCATCCACTGCACAGTGCTGGCCTCCTGAGGTCTCTGATGAGACTTTGGTCAGAGCAGAGTCCTCCCAGACGGCCCCAGGAGCAGGACCATAGGGAAGGTGATTTCTCTCAAAGGGACACGTGAGTGACCTCAGTGGAGGACAGAACAGGAGCAAACTGGTTTCTTGTGCAATGTGTGTCTCACGCTGTAGTGACCTCCAGGAGTAACTGTGGCAGACTTTCACTGTGATGGGGGAGGCACTGCTACCACGGAGCAGGAGCTGGTCATCTAGCAACATGTGAAACTAAAGCTGAAGAAACCCAAGGACACTTGGATCATAAACGTTCAAGCACTGGCAATGTTCTAGCATCATCCTAAGCTACATGTTTATATTTACATACAAAATAACCCCTAAATCTTGCTATTATTAACTCATTGTACAGAAAAGAAAAATTTGCCTCAGAGAGGTTAAATTCTGAGAAAATGAGGTAGCTGTCATATGGCAGAGCACAGGCAAAAGAATACATATTTTCTGCTGGGCCATGCTGCCTCTAACTATGAAAACTAATGACCCTTAACTGTTTTTGACTCATTACTAGAATTATCTATACCTGCTATACCTGTCCTGGGGGCTTCCCAGGTGGTAGAGTGGTAAAGAATCCACCAGCTAATGCAGGAGACACAGGAGACATGGGTTAGATCCCTGGCTTGGGAAGATCCCCTGGAGGAGAAAATGGCAACCCGCTCCAGTATTCTTGCCAGGATCATCTCATGGACAGAGGAGCCTGGTGGGCTACAGTCCATGGGGTCGCAAAGAGTCAGACATGACTGAGAAACTGAGCGGGCATATACACTATACCTGTTCTTATTGAGAATCACTGACAAATAGTTATTGCATGTTGATCTCTTGCCAAAAATCAGTTCCATGAGTGGCTTTAAATGATTTCCCCACCCCAACCCCAGAAGTTTCTCATATTTTATCCAACCCCAATTTGACCAAGAAGATCAACTGTAACTTTTTCTCCATTAATCAACTGTCCCAGAGGCCACTGATTTCCAATCAGACTGTTAAGTAGGGAGAGTTGACCAACAGGAAATTACTAGCAGGTACTGAGATTCTCTTGGCATCAAAACTATGGATGTATAGAAGTTCCACACACAGATTGTATGTACATGTTATGAGAGCCATGGTGTTCTTTCCTTCTGCATACATTTTAAAAAGTATATTTTGAACATCAGATGAAAACACTGAATTAAGAGAAATACGAAGCAAAATGTATTCAGCTACCAAGACTGGGGTAGAGACAGGTTGGTCCTGTGATTTTTATATTATAAAATGTTCATTTACTCTATTCTTTAAGGAATGCTATCAGTATTCAGTAATTCAAAGCTTCCTTACTATGGTCTCCTATCAAATCCAACAACGCCTGCAGCCGTCTGTCCCATTTGTGGCTCAGTGATGTGAGAATGATTTAAGTACATTGTGTCACTCACCCTACTCTAGTTATGATCAGCTTATGGTAATGAACAGACTTCCAACTTTGTATCTTGCTTCATATATGAGAAACAGCTAATTTTTATTCAGTTGGGTGTATTTCCCATATAAAAATAAATGAGAAATGTCATGGT